AATTAATTTGTTTTCAGACAACGCATAAACACTGATTTATTGATATTTATACCTTTCTAAAATTTCACATATATCTAAAACGTCACCAAACTCTAGTGAAGAACTTTTAGACATTTCATTATGCAGTGCGGGTTCGTGGCGGTACATATTGTCTTTCTGTACATCCTTATGAACGTCCACCCTTAATATGTACCCCCATATATTTAAGAAACAAGGTATCATTTTTTAACATGTATTGGGATATAAATACGGGTTGGTCACGAGATCAAATTTCAAAAATCCCGAAGGGCAAAATGATTATCGGGATCAAAAACACATAAAATATTCACATACATGTACGAGTACATACAATAAACACACACCGATTTCCTTCGATGTCCATAACTTGAAAAAAAAATAAATTATGATTTGTGAGTTTGCTCCCACCTTACATGTACTGATTAGTCTCAACATTGTTGAGTTAAATTGGTAATACAAGAATAAAGCACGTTTACTCACAATAATAATACATAGGTCAAGTACATGTAATGCAGTCAATAAAATATGAAAAAATGTAAGCGTGAAAATTCTAAAACACACTTTTTTGTCTTCCGAACCACAGTAGCTTGACTAATTGCATTAAAAGAAAGTAAACATAGGTCCCCATTCATATAATCCTGTTCCATGAAAGTAAAGTTTTCATTTACTGTGCTTATAAGGCATAGAAACTTTTTCCTCTCTTTTATATAATGACTAATGCGTATGGTCCTACAGTGATTTAAAGTTCCCGAAGGTCCACATCACGACGCGACTCTATTATCCTCGGTTTGAGGATGTTTATTACTAAGACTTTAAAATAGCCAGAGCAAGTGAAGCTTGAAGCTGAGCGATTGAAGTAAAGGCCTTGTTTAAAACAGTGACCCATACTTGGCCTTCCTACAATATCTTTGACTGTTGTGAAGATGAGGTGGATTGTAGTGTACTTAGTGTGTATAACATTTATACAACTCTCAATAGGACGAGCCACGTATTCGGAAAACCGTGAGTAAAACCCGACTAAACAATTTACTTGGTGTCTCAACATTTAAAGTCTTACTTATATTTCGTATATCAAAATTGTTATTCTGCATTCTTTGAAGAAAACCGATTTTTCTTTATCTAAAACATTGCATATATTACGGTTGTGCTCTGAGGAGTATTTCAAAATATTAACATTCCACTATGCTTTCGCATTTTCTTATCTATATTTATCTGAATTGAAGAACTACATATTTATCCTTTTACTTAATCAAGACAAAAGGCGCACACGGCAAGTGTGACCGGCCGAAAGGCGATGTTTCGTGCTTTCTTACTCTTTCATGAAACCTGATCCCACCTCCGCAAGTGAGTTAAGGTCAAGATCTAGTAAATGAAGAGTGCCTACAGATTTCTCAAATTTGGAAACAAATTCCTTTTGTAATCTATTACATTTATAGCTAAATAAATTAAGGTGTATCGGGACATGATTTTTAGATAAACTCAACGAAAAATCATATGTAAAACTGCATTTGCAATGAAAAATGAATAAAATCGGGTATAAAAATGGGGGTTTTCTCCATCTAAGACAAAGGAAATGTATCAATATTGCCCACAGTCTCTCAGGAAACGACTTTTCATATCTTCTTGACCTCTTCTTTAAAATGATATTAAATTGAATATAGTAGGTATCGGGGTTTCTTTTGACATGATTTTAAATAGAATTCCATGAAAATGTGTCATTTTCTACTTAATTCTATTATAGCTGTAAAGTACGGGAAAAAGTAAGTTTAAATCAATTATGTCGTCATAATTGATCTAGCACCAAAAAGACACTCTAAACTCATTTACTAGATCTTAACCTTAAGGTCAAGATCTAGTAAATAACTTTAGACTGTCTTTTTGGTGCTAGATCCATTATGACGTCATAATCAATTTAAATTATTCTTCCCGTACTTTACGGCTCTAATAGAATTGTGTAGAAAATAAATTACTTTCATGGAATTCAATTTAAAATCATGTGAAAATTAATCCCGATACCTATACTCAATTTGATTTTATTTTAAAGAAGAGGCTAAGAACACACAAATTACCGTTTTCTGAGAGACTGTAGGCAATCTGGATACATTTCATTTGTCTGATATGGAAAAAACTCCCGTATTCTTGATTGTTTTTCTTAATTTTTCATTGAAAATGACAGTTTAAAATATGATTTTTCGTCTTGTTTATCTACAAACTATGCCCCGATACACCTTATTTGACCAAGCTATAGTTATAAAGCATCATTAAAGGAATTTATTTCTCAAATTTGAGAAATCTGTAGGCTCCTTTCATTTACTAGATCTTGACCTTAAGGCTAAGTATAGAGGTTTCTATGCAAATAAACTAATTAAAACGCAGAAGGGCTATACCTATCTATCGTACAGAAAAAGTTAAAACTTGTTTTCTAATACAACCTAGGTACTCACAACATGTGATAGCCAGTACACATTATGACGTCATATTATGACGTCATCATTCTCTACTACACAAGTTTATAAGAAACATCAACAAAATAGCTTCGGCGCAAGGGCAAGCGATATATTGTTTTACAGAAACAAGGTATGAATGGAAGCAATATATCCCAAGGACTTATGATATTGCTGCACAAATATCGGCAGTACAATAGTTTAGTTACTATTCGTAAAGTTTTGAGTTGAACGAGGGTAAAAATTCACAGTCCGGAGTAAGTTTCCTCAAATTTTTATCAAATGAGAAAGTGCTAATGATTTGTGCAGCAATTTTATAGATTTTTAGAATCTTCTTAATATTATACATTATTTATTAAAAATTAAATATGATATGCCCTTGCGCTGTTTTGTTAATGTGTTTTATAACCTTGAGTGGTAGGGAAAATGACGTCATAATTTGCAATAACTTTAACACATTGTGGGTACTAAGTATGTTTAAGAAAATAAATTTAAACTTTTACTGTATATTAGATACACATCTTATGTATTTTTATTAGTTCATTTGCATAGAAACGCCTATACCTAGCCTTAACTCAATTGTCTTTTGAGCTTAATAACTTGTCATTTTTATATTTTACTTGAAAGCTAGGGGGAAAAAATCGAACATAAAAATATACAACTTCCTGGATTTTTTTTATAATTCTATTGTAAGTATATTGTAAATAAAATCACATTCCATCTCTTTTACTTCTTTCCCCATAATAATAAATATAATGGCATGTGTATTCAACTATTATAGGTTCGTTTATCATATCATTCAGATATCAAATTAGACAAATATCAAAGTGTGTATCTTATAATTAGCACGTATTTACACAATATATATCAACAGTGTTTCATAGCACTTATTCAAACAACGTATATCTCTACATGTGTATCAACGGTCAACATATGTCAACATTTGTGACTAACTACTTAATATATTACTGAACAAATACTTTCGCATAATAGCATGTAACAAGCCCTTGATCTTCTAGTTTAATCAAGCACTATAATAACTCGAACAGCACGGAATTCGACTTCGACTTCGATTACTATTCATATTTCATGACCACGTGACAGACTCAAGGATCATAATTAAATTTAACCAGGCATAAACAAGCATAAAATATTTAAGATTAAATATGCATTCTTCTCGCTGTTTACCTCATTGACCTTTGAAAAATGTTACCTTTTCTCATAGCCATTATTACTGTATATTTACACTGCCTATATAACCCTATGATAAAAATACAATTGTAACATTTAATTACTTTAATGGCAATCTATTTGTCTTTTCTTGATGTTAAAAGTTCGAGAGTGCAAATAATACAGGTAAAAATTCTTTCTGCATGGTACATGTTGGTACTTGTACATGTATATAAAAAGCTTTGCTAATATCATCAATATTTTTTATTTAAAGATTTAACATTTAATTATGTAAATAATATTTGAAAAAAATTCTTATATTTTATTTTCAAATATAACAAATAAAAATCTAACTGAATATCAAAGTCCGATCATTACAATCTCCTGTCTTTAAAACTAGGACACTAGACGTGTTATTCACCGTATTTTTGGATTTCAATAAAGTCAAAATTCAAGAAATGGTCAATATTTTAAAGGCCAAAATATTTTTTTGATTTACTGGGGATGTCTTTATCTTTCGGGCACATGAATGTATTCCATCGTATATAACAAGGGAAATAAACAAACTTGAATACTAAGATTTCAAGCGATTCATTTAGTTATCAAAGCAAATAATTATTTTTATTCTTTACTAATGAAAGATTTGATTGTATTTTCTGAACTGCAGCAATTCTATTCCTACGTATGCTTTTACTGAATGTATCTTTTTAAAAAAAAAAAAAAAACAAATATATAAACAAGTTCTCCTTGAATTTAAAAGTACTCCTTGCTTTCAATTAAAAGAAACGAAATTATATAAAAACAGCCTTTCAATTCACAAATAAACAACAACAGGTTGCAGATAGATTTCAGGTTTTAATGGATAGATGATTAAGGTTACCAAGTGTGTAAAACTTTTAATATCAATTAGAGTGGTCAGTATACTGTAGATAAAATCATCTGTCATTTAGGGTACATTCAGTTTACTCGTTAAAAAAACTAGAGACCCCCTGCTATTTAAAGATACCCATTATATGTGCACTTTTCTGGGTGGAAATCTCATTTGACCTTGAAAATTAAAGGGACGATGACAAATTTAACAATTTCCCCAAAAATCATTACAGCTGTATTTTAACATTGCTTTTAAAATGTGTAATTAAATCTAAAATGGGATATATTTCTTGCAGGCTAGTTGTTTCTCTATATACATTTTATGTGAATGGTTTAGTTAAAGTTTATTTATCTTATTTTAATTTTATTTTGAATCTTTATGTAGTCCACGTCCTTTCTTAGTGTCCAGTTTGTATATAAATTATTCATAAATTACGATAAATTTTTAATTGTTAATAATACGTGTATAGTATTTTTAATTCCTTTCTTCTTTTGCAGAGTTAAGAAAGGCTCTCAGAGAGTTTTTGAATGACTATAGATCAAGGAACGCCAAGGTGTTTTTTAATGTTACATCCCATGTATTAAACGTGGATATTTCATAAAAATATATTAATTAAAAATTGAATTCCATAAAATCTCGGGGAGGGGTTGGGGCATGTTTTTGATATATATTATTAGTAATGTAGACACTTAGAGTGGTAATGCGGGGATATATGGGGTCCTTGAAAAAAATGCATATCTCCGTATTACCCCTCTAAGTGTCTACCTAACGAATTTATTCTGTCAAAGATTGTTTTGTAATAAAGTTTATTTTCTCTGAGTTAAGCAAACTGTTCCGTAACGTCTTCATTGATAAGTCGTTTGATGCTTATGTGACGTCAGTTATTAAGCTCCTTGCGTGTTCAAATGAAAACAACATCTGGACAGTATGGCACGAGGAGTGAGCAAATTGATTTGAATTGTGGTGGGTAGGTTACGTGGAGGGGGCATATTGGTTTGATGTACGGTGGGTACGTCACGTGGATATTGATGAGGCACGTTAACAATATGATGTGGGTAGACAGCATAATTTGGTTTACTACAGTATTCTTCTTGACCACTGAAATTTCAAGATTTTTATCAGAGGTAGGATAAATTTGCATGCAGGACTACAAACCTGTAGCCCTTTTCACAAAAAATCTTAAGTTTGTGCGTAAGATTTTAACTTGAGAATCTCTTACAGCAAATCTTAATGCGTTCCACGAACGCATTCGAGCAGATGTAACTTTGAGATCTGACTTACGACAGACTTCATCCCTAGCAACGACTTCATTATGCTTTATAATCCTTAAATAAGTGGGTGAAAATAAAAATAAAACTTAGTTTTCAACATCTGTCAGCATAACAAACATTAATGACAATAAATATCGAATGTAATCGTTTTCAAAGCAAGGGAGTTTAAAATCTGACGTCGCAATCACAAGTCTGACGCAAAAGTAGGTCATAGTTGAAACTGACATCGTAAATATTTCATTTCATTTTTCGACAATAATTGCGGGAAAAAAATATTATTGTAAGTCGCTTTACAAAGTTCAATTTAACGTGTATTTTGGATTTTGTGGTTATATTTTTACAATAAAACTGGTTCTAAAATACATAAGAGAGGGTTGGGGCTCTCGAAAGTTACGACAGATTTTGCACTTACGACTTTCTTAAGAAATTTTGTGAAAACAATTTTTATCATAAGGTTTTACTTAATATAAGATTATGTCGTAAGATTTTTTGTGAAAAGATCCACGTGAATAGCACGTGAACGAATAAGATTATGTACATATTGGTCAATGCTACAATTTACTGTCAATGCAAGAATATAGAGACATGAGTTAGCTGTTCTCTTTTGAGTGAGATGATAAATCAATTAAAATCGTATATTGCAGAATGCTGAGAACTTCGCACCAATCGTTCGTGGTGAGTGGCTGATATGTACACGATTGTATCTTAATAGCATTTTAAACTGTAAATGATGATACCTGTGCATTATAAAGTAATAACTGTTACTCTTTTGGTCTATAATTAGTCGGAAAATGTATTAGTTGTAATTTTTTTAAGCATTAAGGAGTTGAAGCTGAAATGTAATTTGACATAACATTGGCATCAAAGTTTTCTTTCATTTTTTGTTGTTGTAGATAAAACGGGGGATGAGTCGTTGAACGTATCGGTGAGATGTCAAACGTTTTTTTGCAATTTACATAACTTGTTATAATTTAATTTCATACGAGTATATTTGAGATTACTATTTTTGCATGAGACTCATTAAGGCCAGCAATTGAAATAAAATATATAATTATACCAGGCCTTTCAAAATTGTTTCCTATATAAATCTAGTATAAAAATGTCTAACATTTTCATTGATTTTCTGAGCGGTCCAAAAATTCGATGTTAGACCGTTGAGTGAGATTTTGGAGCGTCGATGAGATATTTTACCGCTTACGTCACACTGTGAGCTGGATCAGCTTTATTAGGTCACCTGAGCTGAAAGCTCAAGTGAACTTTTCTGATCACATTTTGTCTGTAGTCCGTCTTTCCGTCCGCCTGTAAACTTTTAACATCTTCTTCTCCCGAACTACCCCGGTACTGGACCAATTTTACGCAAACTTGCCACAAAGCATCCTTGGGTGAAGGGGATTCAATTTTGTTCGTATAAAGGACCACACCCTCATTCAAGGGGAGATAATTCAGTAATAGTGAAGATTTGGTGGCATGTTTTAAAAATCTTCTTCTGAGGAACCACTGGGCTAACAAAGTTGAAACGTATAGGTAACCTTCTTTAAAGAGTGTAGACTCAAGTTTGTTCAAATCATGACCCCCCGGGGTAGGGTGGGGTCGCAATGGGGATTAAAGATTTTCATAGAAATACAATGTATTGAGGGTAAAAAATCTTTAAAAATCTTTTTCTTAAGAACAGCAAAGTCTTGATTAGTCATATTGATATGGAAGCATCCTCAGATAGAGTAGATTCACTTTTGTTCAGTTCATGACCACTTGGTGTAGGGTGGGGTCACAATGGGGGATCAAAGATTTACATAGAAATATATAGGGAAAAAAATCTTTAAAAATCTTTTTCTCAAGAACAGCGAAGCCTTTTTTAGTCATATTGATATGGAAGCATCATCAGGCAGTGTAGATTTAAGTTTTTCAAATAATGACCCCCGGGCCACCAAGGGGGGACAAAGTTTTACATAGGAATATATGCAGTAACCTTATGCATATACTTACGGAAAAATATTGATTTATTGAGACAAAGCACTCTGTTTTTGTAATAACAGACCAAGAGTCCGAGAAGTGTCACTCGCCAAGTCAACGATGAATTGGAATGTAATATGCTGTGGGAATTAAAATGTGACATAACTATAATAGTATAGTCCAAACCATTCTTTTTTTTCTAAAAGATTGAGTTTTCGTCTGTGATAGTATACAAAACAAGGAGCATACTGAAAAATAATTTTATATTCAGTAGAACTTCGATATCTTGAACACTAATATCTCGAATTACATGGATATGTCGAAGTAGTTTGGAGATCCCAACTACTTATTCCTTAGTTTTTTAACCCATGATATCCCGAATCCTCGGATATCTCGAAGTTTTTTTCTGGGTCCCATCGAATTCGAGATAACGAGGTTTGACTATATTTCGTAATTAATGTATCAGTGTGAAACTTTTAGGAACCTTGTCGAAATTATTGACTAAACATCACCTTTTAATGTTTAAAAACTAAAAAAAAAGATATTTGATGTTAAATTGAATACACTAGTACGCTAGAGTTCAAATCAAGGTTAGTTCAGGGTGGAGCAATAAAATTGCAATACAAGTACAAATACAGGTTTGGTAATCAATGTTGTTTTATTATATATCATTTTATTTTATGGCTTTTTTCTTTTCTTACAACCTACGTCCAAAGTGTATCTACCGTTTGGGTTCAACTGTTTTTTCTCACAATCTGCTCTTTACTGGGGATATTAGAGATTGTGGGTAAAAGATTTGATTAACTAGTTTAAGAAAGAAGCTGAAATCATTTAAAAAAAAATTTTTCAAATTACGTTAAATCACAAACATTTATATGTTGAACTGAACCTTTCAAGAGAGCATAAAAGTGAAACCATCAACTTAAATCTTTAGCACCTGTCAATAACCCCGGAATAATTCGTTTTTAAACATATACTTAAATATACAGGCCTAAATTTTAAGTTTTTTGTACAATACTGAAAATACATTATACACTGTAATTACTATTTCCGGAATATAAACCTTTATTAAGGAAATTTTTAACAAAACTAAACCGAAATATTAATAAAGAATAATTAGAGATGGTTCACGGTTGAGAGAATGCTATTGAGATTAAGAAAATGAATATTAGAAATTTGGGTCCATGTCCATTTAAATCTTACATATAAGCAATTTCATTTCTTATTAAACCGGTTAGGAGAAAGGTCATACAAAGTTTGAGAATGAATAAATCCTAATCGGTCTTTTTCATAACCAAAAAATGATTACATTGAGGTGCATTGAGACCATGTTTATATAAATAAATTCAAAGAGACAGTAATGCAAAGCGGAAAAATGTTATATCGTAGTACTGACAGAAAAATCTATTTTTTTCCGTGAATGTTAAATTCTTTTCACTGAAACCACCCATTAACATTTACACTTTACACACAAAAAAACAGGAATTTTCAGGCACATTGGCATCATAATGCATATGCTTGAAACTATGCTGTAATGTCATTCCTTCGTACCGTTCACGGTAGCTCAGTCGGTAGAGCGCTCGCTCCGTGATCGGAAGGTCGTGAGTTCGAATCTCGGCCGCGACTGACCTAAGTCGATAAAATATAGGTAGCAACTGTTCCTTCGCCATGCGCTCGGCACTTTGAAGTGAAAGTTGCGGGTCTTTCGGATGAGACCTTAAAAACCGAGACCCCGTGTCACGGCAGGCGTTGGCACGATAAAGATCCCTCACTGCTCAATGGCCCTGAGTGCCGAGTAAAGGTCAAAATTTGAAGCCCTTCACCGGTACATGGTGACGTCTCTACATGAGTGAAAAATTCTCGAATGGGACGTAAAACAACATACAATCAATCAATCATTCCTTCGTTCTTGCAATCTAAATATTTACCTTCGACAGTCCGATAATAGTAAAAAGTTTAATATTAAGACTGCCTCAATACTGATATCCCTCAAAACCAGAGTTACTGAACAAAAAAGGAATATACAAGTGTTATAAGAAACAGCAAAGTTAAGCCATACAATGTATGTGTAGTGCTTATTTAAAAACAGAAAATTATATATATTAGTCATAAAGGATTTGAATTGAAAAATTATAATCAGATGTAATTTACCACTGTAAGCAGAGCTGACTGGAAAATATGTCATTTTAATTAAATAGAAGAGCTTTACCTCTGGTTTCATTGAAAAAATTATCCGTACAGATACATGTATTTTAAAATGTTATTCTCAATGTATGTATTAAGAAATCAATATACCTTCAGAGTCTGTTTTTTTTTCTGTTTGTTCAATTCAAATAAAAGTTCAAATCTGCGTTTTTCTTTCCATTCCCATAAATATCATTCACTCGATTGTCTGTATCATTGTCTGTAATAAGATGCATTTCATTAGATCTATGCATGTTTTAAGTAAAAGTATATTTCCTTCCAACTCTCCATTTCAAAAACATAAATTACTTCAAATACTTACAATTTTGTAGTTGATTGAAAATATACTTGGTGGTTTATTATTCAAGCATGCATTCTTGTAATAATTGCTTCAGCGATCATTAACTCTTTTGTGTTTTGTTCAAATATCGGACTGTTATATGTAAATCTAATTTAAAGGGCACTGTTTAAAGTACGATATATGCCTCATAATATTCTGTTTTTTAAACAAAATATCAGACGATTTTGGTCAAAACGGGCTTCAAATTGTTCATTTTTGTCAGAACTGTATTCGGCAAAAATTCATTACATGTACATATTACTCAAGTAGGAGAGATCATCACAATATCAACAAAAAATGTGAATAAATATGAAACTGGCTCTGCTTCATGTATATTTTGGCACTTTCTCAAAACCATTCTTTCGACATGTATGATGAAATATAAATTACATGTGTTATTCCATTTAAATCTATCCATTAAAAGCCTGGTTTAGGATCTTGAAAGGAGGATTGTGCCGTACTTGATATCAGATTATTTTTTTTTCTGGTCCCGTTAGAATCTTGACCCAGATGACGAGGACGAGGCAGAGAGTCAGAAAGTAGACTTACCAGGAGGGGAAAAGGATGTAAGAAAGAGCCGTGACTTGATTTACTGCATTAGGAAAGATACTATTAATCACAATTTCAAGAAATTAAAAAAAAAACAACAGCAACGATTTTTTAAAGGAAATTTTGATCTTTTCAATTTAATGTAAGGCGGAAATTTAATGTATTCAACTGGATTATTCATTTAAATTCCATTTTACTTTTAATATGGTTGATTTTACTCATGCCTCTAATATTAAAAAATAATTGATTTTCAATTAAGGTTTAATATTTATTTTGGTATTCAAATATCTAATATAATATTTATTTATAATTTGTAAAAATAAAAATATTAATTAAAAAAAAAACAGCACACAGTTGCATGAAGATAAAGAAAGAAATATTGTATCTGTAAAAAAAATTCATTATAAGCTGAGAATCATTGATGTATTTTTAATTCCTTTCACGTTTACATGTAGCCAACCAACACGCATGCTCATAACAAGGAAGAACAAAGGGAAGATAATCTAGATAGACCTCCGCCAACCCAAAGGACAAAGGGAGGATTATCTAAGGTAAGACTTAGATGCAGTAGATTGTAGATAGAAAGAAAAGAAAGGAGTATCTGAGGTATTCTTAGATTAATTAAAATCTACGTACTCTTTCTTCCATCCCGAAGACAAAAGGAGGAAGGATATCTAAGGGATGTCCTAGATTGTGTAGCTTCTTGATAAAAACCCTCTTGCCTTAAAAGCAAAAGAAGGATTTTTACGGTATTTCCCAGATTGACCTTCTAAATAGACTCCCGCCCACCAAAAAGACAAAAAGAACATTATCTAAGGTCTCTCCTTGTGTGAGTAGCTTCTAAATAGACTCCTTCCCACCAAAAGGACTAAAGGAAGATTATCTAATTAGGTCAAAGATTGAGTAGTTTCAAGAAAGATCCCCACACACCTAAAGACAAAAAGATGATTTTTAAAGGTATTTCCTTGATGGACTAGGTTGTAATTTGTTGCTTTTATTTAAAAAAATATATATATAGATTTGCATTTCCATTTGGATTACCTACAAATCTATGCCCCAAGGAATGTTTTTCAAACAAAATCATGGTGTAATATTTTTCATATATCACTCATACTAATGAAGGTGGCTTAAAAAATAAATATCTCAATGTACTCGTTTAGTTGGGTTCGCCTAAAATCAAAAACATTCTATCCATCAAAAAACTAGCTCAGTTGACTTGGCTTCAGATTTGCAACAATAACAAAGGAACATAAAAAACATTCTTTTACCTTTTCGAACAGCTCATCTATATCTGTTCTTTACATAATGATTGAGATAAGCAAATGTACAGATAAGCAAGGGTTGATAAACTTTTGCAGATGGAGATACGATTTCTCTTTATTTAAACTGACACATGTTTCAAAAACAATATCAAAGTGTAGAAAATTCTGTTTTATTCCATTTTTGAAAATTCAAAAAAAATAATCTTAGTTAGAATGTCTCCTATCCCAGAAATTAAAGCAGAGGGGAGAGAAATTTACACATGGAATTATTAAAGCAGAGGGGAGAGAAATTTACACATGGAATTATTTTAATCTTTGTGTACAAAATATCGTTTACATTGACTTTTATATTGCTATGTAGCATGAACTACATGTATATAGCTTAATGTAAGAAATGATATTGAAATATAAGACATTATTATTAAGGTCAAGATCTAGTAAATGAAAGGTGCCTACAGATTTTTCAAATTTGAGAAGCAAGTTCTTTTAATGATCCTTTAAAAATATAGCTTGATAAAATAAGGCGTATCGGGACATAATTTTTAGGTAAACTCAACGAAAAAACATGTTTTAAACTATCATTTTCAATGAAAAATGAAGAAAGTCAGGTATAAATTATGGGTTTCTTTTTTCCATCTCAGAAAAAAAAATGTATCAGTACTGCCCACAGTCTCTCATTATCTTACTGCCTCTACTTTAAAATGATATCAAATTGAATATAGGTATCGGGGTTACTTTTGACATGATTTCAAATTGAATTCCATGAAAATGCTTATTTTATACAAAATTCTATTACAGCCATAAAGTACGGGAAAAATTAAGTCTAAATCAATTATGACGTCATAATGGATCTAGCTTTAAGAGGACATGTCTAAACTCATTCACTAGATCTTGACCTTAAAGACGTACAACACACTGGGGGAGATAACTCTTGCGATTTCGATAAAACGTTTAACATAGTGTTAAATTTGACGTTAGTTGCGAAGCGTCAAAATGACGAGCGATACGATCCCGATGTAATTCATGTAAAAAAAAATAGATAGAGGTTTTTTATTGTGGTTTCTTTAGGAATACCAAATCTTATCCTTGATCATTTGCGCAATTGCAATAAATCTCCCCCCTCCATAAAAAAAGAAAAAAAGGACAGGTTCCCTAAACTTCTTTAATTTAAATTTAGTTAATTAATTCTTTAATATTGTATCTATGATATACACTAAGGCATTTTTTTAATCTAAAAATGCTAATGATATTCTACATTGCTTTTTCCCGTTACAATCGGCCGCATAACATTGAGAATAAATATTACCGGTATGTTTAAATATTATCATATTACGAAAATAAACATTTTCTTTCTTTTCTTTGAAAAAAAAAATGAAAAAGAGTAACCGTTTTCAGAAGGTCACTGATCAAAGAGAAACAACTCCAAAAATGTGAAGGTGTATGTCTTCCTTCCCCTTAGCTGAGATATTCCTCCTGTTTTCCGAAGAATTATTTTTTCCCCTCACAAATACACAGATACATTAAAGATTTTACAGTGTGTTACAGTGTGTTGCAAGGAACACAAGAACTAAAAGCCAAAGTTTATACAAATTAAAGTAAATATCAACAGTTTAAAATTATTTTCTGAAATTAATACAACGGTTGCATCCCACTGAGAAAATCTTTTACTGTAAACAGTATCAGTTCGCATTTCCTCGAATAAAAACAAAACGATTGATACCAATGTAGATGATACCATTGTAGATGATTAACATGAATAATTTTAATACTGATAAATAATTTACAATTTGGTACGACTGAAGTTAACATGGACGAATACATCATTTCCATTCATTGAAACAACAGGAGGATACAATATCCGGGGGGGGGGGGGAGGGGCACCCCTTTCGTTTGAAAACATATATTCCATTTTCATCACAAGAGAGTTGTACATACACCACTGTTGGTTCACTTAAAAAATAATATTTAATGCAAGTAGGTCATATAAGGTTTGAAACTGCACCTGTGTGCATGAACTCCAAACCGGACACGTGGTCATAAAATCCTTAGAAAAATGGTTTTACTATATATAAATACAAAAAAAAAAATAGTATTTAGAATAACAAAAAATATTAGTAGTCAATATCTAATCTGTATACTCGAATGAAGGACATTACTTTAGGAGTTCAATATGCCAATTATATTTATCATGCAGACGTAACCGATTTTTTTTCAAGATCGAATGTACTGCATTGCAGAGAAGAATGGAGGGGGGGAGGGGTGTCTTAAAATTGCTTATTCATCTTCATTTAAATGCAGATGTAAAGTTTTATATTTGTGATAAATATAATGTACATTACATTTTTTAAGTAAAATATACTTTCCAGCTAGGAATTTTTATTTGTATTTGTAGAATCATAGCATTGTTTTCGTCCCAAGTCTGAAAGACGCTGTGAAAAATGTAACTTAGGAGAGAGGGGGAGGGTAGATTTTCCGCTATAAATTCAAAACGCGTCGTTTAAAAAATTTCCAAAAAATTATCAAGAACATTTTGATCATCAGTTACAAGAAGTAATAATTTTTTTCAAAATTAAACGACAGATTTTTTCATAAAAAAATATTTCATTTGAAAATCACGCATTTTTCAATGCAAAAATGAACCATAGTTTTTCAGTTTAAATTCTTCAAAATCGTTTTTCTCGAAGTGTACCTCTACAAATTCACTTTGTTTGTGTGTTTTTAGTTAAACGAACGATTCAGCAAATTTTGACAGCTAGGCTAACCTTAAATATTTTAAAATAAGGGATTTTATAGTTAGTTTGTTGAATTTTTTTTGTACTCGTGATCAGCCAAAGGGGGGTAACTTTAGGAACTTCCTGTCCAAATTCGGCTCGAACGATTTTGACCAAAATGTACATACACGTAGTAGATATGGTCATGTATAAGATATATAAAAATAGCGAAAATTAAACGACAGGAAATTTTTGGGGTAGGTGTGTTGTACATTCTTAAGTGATCATGATCTATTTCATTTTTAGAAAGACATACTAACTTCAAAGAGAGTTTTTGAGGACACAGCCTCCCTTTGGGCAAACGGCAAAGTACCGTATGTGATTGATGAATCAACTTATGCCGGAAGTTAGTATTGTATTCATTATGTATTGTATGATGGGTGTTCCTTTAAAAATCATTTGATGATATATATATATATTTTTTTTTTACTTCAAACGGGTAGATGAAATTATTATAACATGTAGTTACTGCTTATGGTATATAAAATGTTAAAAAATATTAGTTTATGTTCGTGGTTTGTTTTCTTACTTCAATCGAATAAGATAGGGTCATTGGTCACAATTGATTGTTAAAAATTAGTTAATCTTTGGATATACAACCTTAATCATTTTTGTTTAAAGTCTATCTTTGATAAAATGGTCCAAACAGTTGAAAAATATTGGTTTCGTTGTAAAATATAGCTTCATAGAAAAATATTGCTATATTTTTAGGTGAAGATTCTCTTAGTGAACTTAAAGATCTGCTTAGAGAGGCAATACGACAGCTCAAAGAGAATACGTGCGTAGAATGGGTAGCGAGGACGTCAGAAGCTGACTACGTCAAGTTTATAAATGACAAAGGGTGTGTACTTCGGAATCCTTCACCCCATTGATCATGGGGTGAGGGGTGTGTTCATAGTTTTTGTGGGTCATCCTTTCTCACGAATTATCGCTACATTACTATTTAACATAGTTAAATTGTTAATTTTAACAGTTAATTGAATCTCCTTAAATACGGGTTATCCCTGAAATTATGTCCCAAAGAACCAGTAAAATTTTTATTGCCTACAAACATTGGTACCTACGGTATAAAATAGTATTTATTTTATAACCCTCTCCTTCAACATTTTATGCTCGAATATGTTCGCTTCTTTACAATGTTATGTACAAATTCATTTTGGGGAGGGGGGATAGAACTTTGTACAAGTCATTCTTACATATAATCATTTGAAAGAGATGAATTTCTATGGAAAACACTACACCACCACATCTGAGAACACGTCGCATTCTGTATTAAAAAGATAACTTGTTTTGACTTGGATATCATTACAGCTGTTACTCATATGTTGGGAAGATTGGAGGGGCGCAACCAGTTTCCATCCAGGCTTACGGATGTACATCGGTATGTTCTCTTTCTGAAAACATAATATAGGATCATAATTGTGCCTGATACAAATTTCCTTCTGTGTATTTTGTTTATCTCTTTGTTGAACATCCGTTTAGGAATTTTTCACTCATGGTGAGACGCCACCAAATGTCTGGTGGAGGGCTGCAAATTTAGATTTGTAATCGGCACTTACGGCCTTTTAGCAGTGAGGGATCTTTTTCTTGCTAGCACCTACTGCAACACGGGACCTCAGTTTATGCGGTCTGATCCCAGGGACTGGTCTCCACGTCTTACATTGGATTTAAAACCGCGACGTAAGGACCCTTGTTTGAAAATAGTAACGACTTAAGGAAAGATCTTGATACTTTGCACTGAAGAGTTCAAGTCCGATGGTACATGTAGTTTTATGTTCTCCCTTTGATGTTAAATGGATAATAGGAATATCTACAGTAAATGATACAGTTTTATTCTTTACACTACAAGACGTTCGTATATTAATGGAACATTGTTTGGCCATTATCACATTGTTTTGCCTAAGGATTTTTCTGTTTGCCCGATCATGGCACCTGACCTCAGACTCCGACGTATTGAGAGGTCCGTGTCTGCTCTGCTCAAAGTTTGTATTGTTCAATAGATTTTAAGCATAAATACTGTTATCTTCATATTTCATTCTTGAGGGGACGTAGCAATCAGATAATCATATATATGAAATTTCTGTAACAGTTGTAGAAACAATAACTCTCGAAGTAGTTTCTGGTTTGTTTATGTTTCTATCTTCCTGCGTGGCGCAGTGATTAGATCGTTTGCTTTAGAGTCGCGGTGTAAGGAGTTGATCCTTACGTTGCGGCTTCAAATCCTCTGCGGGGGGTGAAGACTGGTCTTGGTATAAACCGAGGTCTAGTGTCGCAGTAGGTGTTGGCTCGAAAAAGATCCCTCAATGGTCAATAGCCCTGAGTTCTGAATATAGGTATAAATTTGCAGCCCTCCACCGGCAAATAGTGGCGTCTCCATATGAGTGAAAATATCTCGAGAGGGACTTTAACAACAAACAAACAAAATATTTTCATACTTTACGGTAAAATTAACTAAGGCTGATACAATTTACAGATTCACACCGTCTTACATGAAATGCTGCATGCAATGGGAGCGGCTCATCAGCAGTCCCGCAGCGACAGAGCTGGAATGACGTCAATGAAATGGAACATGATCCAGTCTGGTGCTTTGAATAATTTTGAGATGGAAAATACAAAGAACGCACAGCCGTACGACTACAAATCACTGATGCAGTATGAACTTAATGTACGTATATTGAGCCATGCAGAAATAACTTTATCTTAAGGTTTTTGTAGTCTTGGTAGCTTAATTGCGTAACATGAAAAATTACTCGAAGCAAGATTTTTCTTAGTCTCGGTTAGAGAAATATACATATATATAAGTACAAGATTTGAATGAAAAATTCTACAATTTCTTATACTTAAGATATTTGACATATAAAAAGTACAAATTACGAGACAGATAACTGAAACCTATGTTTGTTTTTGAAGGACTTTGTATAAATTATTAGCATTTTTTAAGAATAAAAAAATCTGAGAGATCCAAGATAAAATCACATGAATACTTATCAATTGTAAAAAAAACAAAATTTAAAAAAAAAGATAAAATAAAGATTTCTTTGAAGATCTTGGAAGAAATGTCATAAGTTTGATTATTTTTTTTTAAATTATAGTAAGAAAATTAAGGTAACCAATCAAAACATTCTGCAATTTAATTTTTCATTGAAACATTTTTTTTCTTTGTGTGACGTTAGCAAACTCATTCTTAAGCTTAGAATAAATTTAAATTGAGCTTATCAATTTAAATCTGTGATCAGGACCTAAATTCCTTTGATATATTTCCTTTTAGGGTCAGACGACATCTTCCTCAATTAAATATAATTTCCCTCTTGAATTTGTTAGTGAAGTATTGCTATTTTAACAAGTTTCCTTAGCAAAAATCGGGATATCTTACCATGCATTCTCGCAAGATACCAGAGGATGGTGTTTCTTGTAGAGTCCTCTAGGAAATCACTAATATTGCCAGTATCACAATTATTCCTGTACTGATTTTAAATACATTCTGAAAACAGATTAGAAATCACAAGATAAGTGATAACAATTATTAACTTTTTGTATATTACAAAAACATACAAACAGATGTTTGAGATACGTATCGCCTGACCTTAAGCATGGTTATTACTAACTATTGTAGGATATAGTCAAGCAAGCGATCAAAGTTTAAAATAAAATATCTTTTCATAAATACAATGTAACTTATAAGTTTGTACTTTGACAAAATAACGGGCTTTACTTACCTACTGTAGCTCTTAATAATATCAAATCCATTGTTTGATATATGTAGAATAATTTGCTGAAAACACAGAGACTGCCAAAAAAAATACAGATGTATATTTATCAATGATTTTGATAACAATTAATGTTCCATAAGGTTCAGCTTCATTCTAGCTGTTTTGCGGTACATGGCATATTTTACAATTGAAAATGGTCCATTCATAGAAATGGTCGTTAAATGAAACACGCATTCTACAAACCTTAACCTTTAACGGATAATGCGATAACGATGATATCTAGTCAAGTTTTTAAATAAATGTTTTATATTGATCTCGGTCGGATTTTGAGCACGTTTACATAATTTGATATGCTCTTAATTAAAATTACTGATGGTATGAATTTTCCAAGATGGATTCATCAAAAGAGTTTCATACAGCTAGTTTATGAACACGTCTACTCAAGACGACGTGATGTAACACTGATGTACGAATGTAAAGTGAACTTTCAGTTTTATCTACTTAACTAATGTATGATAATAAAATTAACAGTCATTTGGGAAGAATGGCGGGAATTCTATGTCAATCCCAGACATGAGTTTGGAGTACCTGATCACAAATACAAAGAATTCTCTCACTATATACGACATCGGCGAAATCAATAGCGCCTATCAATGTACTGGTAAGTTACGTCACATCTTCGAAATCAATAGCGCCTATCAATGCACTGGTAAGTTACGTCACATCGGCAAAATCTATAGCGCCCATCAATGTACTGGTAAGTTACGTCACATCGGCGAAATCAATAGCGCCCATCAGTGTACTGGTAAGTTAAGTCACATGACGGATTTAATACTACATTTGCAATTTTTTTTTTACATATGTGGAAGTTGTATCTAAATTATGTACTAAATAACTGTAGCTTGTCAAATGGCATAAATTACAATGAATCCATTTGTTGAATTGAATAAATGATACGATTTATATCAATTACAAGATCTCGTGTACCAAGCTGATTTATTTTTTCCTGTCATAAAGCTGACTGTACCAACAAATGTGAAAATGGAGGGGTGGTGATGAAAGGAGACGGAACTTGTGGATGTAAATGTCCGTCCGGTCTGAAGGGCGCTGATTGTTCCGAACTGGACACCAGTGATGGTATACGATTATCACCAGAATTAAACACATGGGAAAATACTGTAATGCCTGCATTTATGTAAACGTATGAATTTCTTATGCATACCCGGTAAATTTCTCCTTTTTGTTGTTTTTTTTTCTCTAAAAATATTTCTGAAAATCATGTGTGTATTTGAAAGGATGTGGGGGCTTCATTACACTAAGTAGTGATGTGGAAAAGAAAACTATCGCAATGGACTCCTATAAGACAGATCTATTGTGCACTTGGATTATCAAGGTAACTTTGTTGAGAAAAAGCAAAGATCTAAGTAGTTCTTTAATCTCTTTACCGGTCATGGTAGCTCAGTCAGTTGAGCGCTCGCTCCGTGAGCGAGAGGTCGTGAGTTCGAATCTCGTTCGCGACTGACCTAAGTCGATAAAAAATTGATAGCAAGTATTCCATACGCTCGTCCTTTGAAGTGAAAGTTGCGGGTCCTTCGGATGAGACCTTAAAAACCGATGCCCGATAAAGATCCCTCACTGCTCAATTGCCTCGAGTACCGAGTAAAGGTCAAAAGTTGAAGCCCTTTACCGGTATATGGTGACGTCTCTGTATGAGTGAAAAATTCTCGAATGGGACGTAAACACACATACAATCAATCAATCAATCATTAATCTCTTTATAAACAAGTTTTGAGGTGATTTTTTCTTAAATAAAATTTATTCTTTAGATGCAAACCCTTGATAAAAAAGTGAAAGTCCTGTCCGTTGATCGTGATGGTTAAATTTGAATTTAGTGTCATTCTTACAAAATATTACTGTAGTGTGCACTACCGGTATGTCTTCACAATGTCAAGGCTTTGTGATATTCGTTATTCTACAAAAACCCTTGTCATAAGTCGATATATTTAAAAATATGGCTGGAAAGCCACTATTTCATTTCTCCCCTCCTATTTAGGACTTGGGACCAGTCGGAAAACAGGCTTTATACGGAAGTTAAATTTTGTAAACAAAATACATGTATAACTCCTCTTTTAAAATAAGTGCCAGTATTGTAGGATGTGTGCCTAGTTACCTAAAAAATTATCGGAAATTTTTTTGTGGAAGATCCTTCTCCTTGCAATCACAAAAGATGTGCTTTGGCTTTAAGCCACTTGATAACGACGGGTTGGTTTATAATTGACTATTATGGCACGTGCAACCACATACCCGAATTTTAGAAAGCAACATATGTCAAGGTTTGCAAGTAGGAATGATATCATTGTGAAGATGTGTGGAGGGTTGCAGTGTATATAATTATAAATACTAAAATGCATCTGTTTTCATTTTTATATTACTTTAATGTTTGACTTTAACAATGGTATTAGCAATGAAAATTTTACATAGAAATTGCTTTTTTAAAACAAAAATTATTGTTCGGATAAAATACAATCATTTAAATTGTCAGGGGCCATCAGGCACGCGTATAAAAGCCACAATAGCCTCCATGAATCTTCCATACAGCGAATATAACGATTGCTACCATTGGCTGGAGTTTAGGGACTACCTTATTGGCGATAGAGGGAAAGAGTAAGAAATTCATTTTAACATGTTCAGAACTGAAACAAAAATGCAGGTTTTTATTTTGTAAGGTTTATGTGTAGCCTATATAACGAGATTTATTTAAGGAATGAATTTAATAGCTACCCAATTTATACGATATAAAGTAAATTTTTTATCCAATGAAATGGGGTGTTACAATCAGAAATAAATTATTCCCATTTTGCAGGAGATGTGGAACCACGGGAGGTGCAGGTTTCGAAAAAATGCTGATTGGTGATCCAGCAAGGATGATGATCCGATTCAATAGCAAAAAGCACAAGGACCAGACTCCAGGAAAGGGGTTTTCCGTCTCAGTTCAAGCAGTCAAGTCGGGTAAAACAAGTGCACTAGACCTTTTTTGATACTAATCAAATCAAATGTAGATTACATTTAATGTATGCCCCTCCGAGTGTGCTTCATGATGTGCAGGTAGTTAACAAAAAAATTCCTTTTGTTTCTAGGGAGATTTTTTCACAAAACAGTGGAATATTGTTTTTCTAAAATACCACAGTCAGACACATCTGTTTCATGTTTGGATATTTTACTTGAAAAAAGACGTTAACGGTAATCTAACAACCAAGCTTTATGATAAACGTGATGACTTTAACTTTTCAATCGTCAACTTCCCTTACTTACATGTACATGTATGTAGCAATATACCTTCATCACTTGCATACGGGGTATATATCTGTCAGTTGATTCGATACGCAAGAGCATACTCTACCTATTAAATTATTGACAGACAAGTTGCATCATTTCGTAAGTTCTATGGTCGATACAATGACATTGTCAGCAAATACAATTTATCATTGAGTCAAATGCTGACTGACGTTTTTCATACTAATTGTTATGCCATTATTTACACACTGAATTGTCGACGGATTTTTCCGTTATTTCCCGACCATGACAAGGAGCACACGGCGGGTGTGACAGGTCGGCAAGGGATGCTCACTCTTCCATGGCACCTGATCCCATCTCTGATGTTTGGAGGTCCGTGTTTGCTCTGCTCCTATTTTGTATTGTTTAATGGACTTCTGAGCTTGAATACTATATTTGTTATCTCTATATATTTCATGTTTCAATTTTTAAAAAAAAAATATATGCCTGTGATTATTCTGAGCTATTCTTAATATAGGTCTTATAATAAAATGAGGAATTCATATGCAGAAAAAAATATATTTTTGATTCACCTACATATACATGTTGAAATTACTTCTCTTCATTTGAACAGATATGACATTTCAAAAGTGAGAAGGTTTCTTATTTGTTTATTTTTTTTGTAATTTCCATTAGATAACACAAAAGACACCAGGTATAAAAAAGTGGTATTTGATATTCTAAAAATTGATTAGGAATAACATACAGAAACAGAAATGCTATGTTTTTAAAATTATTTTTAAAGGATGTGTAGCCTCACCCTGTAAAAATGGTGCTAAATGTACTGATACTTCTGGAGGCGGTTTCACGTGTGAATGTTCGAATGGATTTTCTGGAAACGATTGCAACACTTTGGCGGGTATAATTTGAAATCTATTCAAGTTGATGAAATAATTTTCTTCCTCTCTCTCCCAAGGAAATATATTTCCATTATTTTTATTTTAAACTCAAAACGTCGATTTAAAAATACCTAAACGAACTATTTTTTTTACAATTATTTTAAAGGAAATAGACGAATAAAAGAAATGTATTTATAACTTACACAGAGAGGAATTTAAAATATTGTTTCCTTACAGCTTCCGCAAAAACAAAGTGTGGTTTCCAAGATGACTTCCGTGCTTGCGTTTTTCAGCCAGACACTAAAAGCTCGACGTTTGAGTTTACATTCGGCAGCGTATGTAAAGATTATTATCATTATAACTTTTCATTAAAATGAGTGTTGCAAACTCAATGCAAACATATTTCCATATTAAATATTATACTCCCCCCCCCCCCCGAAAATAAGTATTTTCTATATCTTAGAGGTACTTTAAGGTGTTCAATAAAGGCATTCTCATAAAGTCAACACGACATTTAATACAGAAAATATGTTTGCGGTAAAATATAACGTAATTAAAATGCTTGTAATTCCTTGCAATTTATAACTTACTGATTTACTGTAATACTTACTAATTTACTGTACAATGTAACACTGTTTTACTATAAAACGTACTGATTTACTGTACTATGACATTCTTACTGTTTTACTGTAATACGTACTGTTTTACTGTAATACTTACTATTTTACTGTAATAATTACTGTTTTACTGTAATACTTACTATTAGGGATGGCAACGAATATTCGAACATTCGAATATTCATTCGATGAGTTGATATTCGAATATGAATTTAAGATTCGAATATTCGGCGTTTTTCAGATTTCATAAAAAGAAGTACTATGATTAATAATTTTTATTAGAACAGTGCTGGAATAATCCCTGTTTAATTAACTAGCGATCAATTTCGATCACCTGATTCCTTTCACTACTTTCTAATTTTATTAAAAAATCTACTAAATTACATGTATTTTGTTTTGAGTAAGGTGTTAAAGAATTGTACAATAATGCTTTATGTATAATACAAAACGTACTCTCATAGTTCTTATTAGTTAGATACGATCGGATCTGGAATCGAGGACAACAAATGAAATCTAAGAATGTCTAAAAGGCGTGAAGAGTTTACTTATCAAAATAAAATTAATTGATCATTGAATGAATGTCCGATAGAATTAAATTGTTATTAATATTGTAAATTGCTTAATTTCAGAATAAATGTGTAAATTACTTGATTATCTCGAGTTGTACATAGTCCTGAATTTTATATTCATTATCGGGAAATTAGTTAATTACCTAGGAAAATTGTCTATGGAAATATTTGTTTACATTGTATCAAAGATTAAAATCATATCTCTTATCAGGCAGATAATCGTAATTAATTACACATATTGAAATCTGAAAAGTTAACCGTTACGACTATCTTGCCTTTTGCAAGACGAGTGGTTCCTCAGTTGGAGCTACTATAAATACACGTTTCATTTGTTAAAATTATACTTTTCTACATTTAAATCAATAATTTATTTCAAACATTGACAAATATCAAATGGAATTTCTTATTGTACACCTACAAAAGTCTTCATACAATTTTACATCCAATATAATATACCTACACTAAACCTTTCATGTGAGTAGGATGATGCATATTTAAAATAAAACAGATTTTATTTATTTTATCGAATATTCGAATATATTCGAATACTTTCATTGAATATTCGAATATGAATTATTGACAAAATTGACATCCCTACTTACTATGTACTGTAAAACATACTGTGTTGATGTAATACTTACTGTTTAACTGTAATACTTACTGTTTTACCGTAATATGTACTGTTTTACTGTAATACGTACTATTTTACTGTAATAATTACTGTTTCACTGTAATACGTACTGTTTAACTGTAATACTTACTGTTTTACCGCAATACTTACTGTTTAATTGTAATACTTACCTTTTTACTGTAATAATTACTGTTTTACTGTAATACTTCCTATTTTACTGTGAAACATACTGTGTTGATGTAATACTTTCTGTTTAACTGTAATACTTACTGTTTAACTGTAATACTTACTGTTTTACAGTAATACATACTGTTTTACTGTAATAATTACTGTTTTACTGTAATACGTACTGTTTTACTGTGAGACTGTATGTGTACTTAAAAAGGCGTGCTTCATATTTTAGCGGCTTTGGCGCAGACAGCGATGCGCTTATTGATTACCGTTAATAAATGAATATGATATGATGTTATCTGCCATTTAACAAGCCTCGAACATCGAACCCGATTTAGTCGTCATCTATTTCACCAGGCAATAGGCATAGATAAATGTATGTAAATATATATCTATGTATAATGTGATTTTTTTTTTCCAAATTCACTTGAATTAAATTTAATTTTAATATAACATTTGTCACTTGGACCATTCAGTTCAACCGTGTCGACCCTCATACTCTATGTGTGAACCTCGACAGTGTATATATACGTCATGTACGTACGGTATTAGTTATACAATGCAATTCTAACATATATAAATTACACAATATTGATCCTCCTGGATTTAAAAATCTTAATTGTTTTTAATTAATACTAAAAGGTAATTAAATGCTCAATATTAAAACTTGACCGCACAATAAATACAGTACCCGCATCGTTATTCTTTACAGGATACACGATACGATAGGATACACGCACGATACGATAGGATACACGCACGATAGGACAGGATACACACACGATAGGATAAACGCAAAACACAATAAACGCAAAATACGATAAACGCAAAACACGACAAACCTGATAAACGATCTTCACGATAGGATAAACGCAAAACCTGATAGGATTGTTTCAAAATGCGTAACGTTTTTTGAGAAGACGAAAAGTTTCCTTTTTGATATACTATAGTATGATAATTTTAATTACTTACAAAGCCGCAAATCGAAATGATAAAACTTTTTAAATTCATCATGATAAAACATTTGAAGTAATTATGCTTTGTAAAAGATATGGTGTTTTTGTCAATAAAATTGATCGTCATCAAATTCAAACTGTAATTATTTTAAGATTAATTCCACTCTGTGATGGAAATTAGGCGATTTTTTTGTGTAATTATACAAATGTCGAAATTCCTTCGAATCGTTAAATTTGAATTCGTAGTCCGTAGACAAACGAAGTTTTACACCCAAGTGCAATAAATTCACGAAACGCTATAAATATATTCATTATTTTAACAAATAAAACCTTATGAAATTCATAACAATCTTTGATTATTTTTACGGAAAAACATGTAAAAAAAATGTAAAAAAAAAAAAAAAAATTAAATATTTGGATTCAGTTATCTTTTGCTAGAAGTCTGCGAAGTATTCAAAATCGCTTTTAATAGTTTGTATTGAATAATTCAAATCTTACAAAAAAAAAATACTAGTCATAATTTAGGGGGGGGGGGGTGAAAAATTATTGTTATAATTATTTTAAGGTTAATACTTTCTCCTCCAATTTTTTGCGAATTTGATTTATATTTTATATAAATTAATTTGTTTACGTTTTAAAATTGCTGACATTGCTAGTTGCATTGAGACAGACCGTGCACTGGACTGTGAATAATTAATCTCTCCTATATATAAATATATATGTCACACATATCCCGTGCACATAGAAATTATTTACATATTCCAAGTACATACATTGTGTACGTATATATAAAAAATCGAATTTAATAAAATTAATAAACGTCACTAGATCTGTCATCATCTATTATCCGAAAAAATATCGCATTTCCATTCTTTTGTATTTACTTTGGTATTTTTATAAGCCTGTAAGATTAAGCTAGAAGGGAGAATGCAGTCGTATAATAAAAAAAAAATGTTACAGTATACCAGTATGTCGTGTAGTATACAGTAGTAATATAATGCTTATATTAAGTGTACATTTCCAATTTTCTTAGTATAAAATCTTTAATTGTTAATTAAGTGTTGTTCATAAAAATTATGAACAATATCCAGAAAATAAGTAGATGCATTTCATTGAAACCCAGTAGGGTTCAAGGTAAATACTTGACACCAGGTGAGAGCTAGAGTTCAGGTATGTCTACGTTGAATACACACGGGCCATTGTAGGGGAAAGGGGGGGGGGGGTCTTGACTTGACAAGAAGACAGTGTACTGATTAGGCAGGTAGGTGTCAGTTCTCTTGTCACGGGAGCGCTTCCACCTGTCACTAAGTTACGGTATATATTACTTCCTCTCCGCGCTGAAGTAGGTAAGATGTATAAAAATTTGTGTGGTTTTGTTTGTTTGTTTATTTATTTTTTACATCTTCTAAATGCAGTAGTTAAATATTAATGGCAAACATCTATATTATAATATATACTTATCAGAGAAAAATAATAATACAAAGGAACAACAAAACTTGCGCGCATAGACAAAATTTATGTTTCCGTTATTGATAAAAAGGATAGCCTTAATAAAGATACTGATACTTTTTTATTCATAATTTATTTTTTGCACACATACCTAATGTTTTATATTTTTATAATTATCAAAACAAAGTTAATAAATGTCTCGCCTTTGTGACTCTGACTGTGTAAAGGGATTATAATATTTCTATCTTTGACAAAAATATTTCTTACATATCGACAAATTTAAAAAAAAATAACGAATGACTCTAATAGTAGATCGATTATTTCATGTACAAAAATAGAATTTGACTTTCGATTTATGCTCTCTGCTTGGTGACGGTACTTGACGTTTATTTATTTTCTTTAAAAAATATATCAGAGTTAGAGTATTAATTTCTCTTTTTGTTCAACAGTTAGATTAATCCTAAATAAATTAACAAAACGAAAGATGAACTCGAGATATCTCGGGTGTTTCTTTTCAAGGTAAATATAAAAAGCGAGGGTTTCCAAATGCACACGATAACGCAAAACACGATACACGATAGAACCTGATAAACGATCCTCACGATAAACGCAAAACCTGATAAACGGAAAACACGATAGAAAACGCAAAACCTGATAAACGGAAAACACGATACGGTAGGATACACGCACGATACGATAGGATAAACGCACGATAGGACACGATAGAATTGTAAAGAATAACGATGCGGGTACTGTACCTTAAGGCTCATTTTCAGCCAGGTGGACACGATAATTGAACAGCAATAATCTAATACGATGTTTAAAAATTAATTAGAATAAGATACTAAAATTTTACTTTAACTTATAGACAATAAGTACAACTTATTTTATTTTTATTTTTTAGCGCTACATGTGTAGCGCTAATTCATGACTACGCCAACCACTCCATACCCGGTGATTGCGCTAAAGTTTGAATACGTTAATTTATGTACACATACAGTAATTACTTTTTTACCGTAATACTTACTGTTATAATGTAATACTTACTGTTATAATGTAATACTTACTTATTTACTGTACAATGTAATCTGTAATACTTACTGTTTTACTGTAATACTTACTGTTTTACTGTAATATTTACTGTTTTAATGTAATACTTACTGTTTTACAGTTAATCTTACTGTTTCGCTTTAATACTGTTTTGCTGTAATATGTACTGTTTACTGTAATACTCACTATTTTATATTACCTTGTTTAAAGGCTGTGAGCCCTGACGTTCCTGGAAATGATAACGGCTTTCAGTACCTTGTCATCGAGAATTTTTTTAATTCTTTTTCTGGCAGAAAAGCTTACTTAATCACATCTGCCAACTTTGAAGGTAAGATCATTTAAGTTTATCTGAGGCAATCAGATAACATTACTAACGATTTCCGTCCATCTTTTCATGCATTGTGATACATGTACTTACCAAATCTTAAAACTCCTGACGCACGAGTCCAGCATTTCGATTATATGTATCAGTAAGTTTATCATAGCATAATTTACAGTAAAGTTTTTTCATAATTAACTAAAACACACCCTTCGTTATCCTGATGCTTTACTTGTGTGATTTGATTTACATGTACGAGGGTAAATTGTCCCAAACTTCCGTTGACAAGCATTGTTTTGTAGGAAACCGCTGTCATATAATAATAACGAAACTTTGCACGTAGATCAAACCATCAATTACTAATTAATATATGGACAAATACTGAGTAATTACACAAATTAATCATACCTAAATGAAATATTTCATTGTCTTATGCAAGAAGAAGGCGCACTACCTAAAATTGATGTATAAAATCCACTAAAAGGTATTTACTTCCAAGAATTTCGAAAATAAAAATGAATATTCTCAATATTGTATTGTAAGCTATCTTCCCTCAATTTTTTGTGTATACGATATGATTAATTTGAATTTTATAACGTTTAATATCCACCGGTTTGAAATTTGACGTTTTGAAAAAATGGCGGCGCACTGGTTCTGATCTTGAATTCGCTTCTACAGAAACGAATAAGTTATATATGTCTGGTACAAATCAAATGACACTTTTCAACTAGAGAAGACAAACGAAAAGCACGTGGAAACAAAGCGTTTTACAAAATACTATTTTTTAATAAAGGTATTCTTTGATCCATGCTATAAAGCTAAATCATTTCATAATATTCAAGATATTTCACATTTATATCTATAAATTTTATGATGAATTATAATATTTCATTTTGTTTTCATGTAATCACGTTTAAATTTCGCAATTTATTAGCCAACAACCACCCAGAATATTTTATATAAAATTTTATTAAGATTAATTTCTGAAAAAAGGATATGAGTTCACTCGACGGAATTTTGGGAGAATCCTCGTAATACATGTATGATGATTTTGCACTTTCGTTTACTAGCATATAATTATATGTAATATTCCCCTTTGATACTGAATGATTAAGGTATAAGCATCCTGTTCCCTTTCTTTTTACATGTAGAATTGTTTTTTTTTCGGTCTACATTTTATTTGCTTTACTATATAAATGTACCTTTTTCACGACATGTTCAGATCTACAGCTTGAATCATTAATAACTTGTGCATTTTTTCTCCCATATTTTCTTTTAAATATTGAAAAATCATCATTAGTTAAAGTCAAGCAGTCTCATTTATGTCAGAGTTTTTGAAACAATTTATAAATTGCAGGCCTTTTTTTTATTTTTAGAATCTGAAAGATGTTTAAGCATGAAATACGCTTATACAAACCAATTCTATGATGATGGCGAAGACACCCTGGTCCTGATATACTACAAGGGAGATAATCAGGCGATGACAACATTGATAACCCTTGGTAGCTCTGACATCATCGTCGGATCTTGGCAGACGACAAAAGTTACAATACCTTCTATTAAGGGGCTCCAGGTAACCTATTAGCTGAAACCTGTTAGAGAAAAAAAATTAACAGCTCCCAATATACTTTACTTGATATCTTGACTAGTTGACAACAACACTTATGATACCCCCTATAAATGGTTTCCAGAATACCTCACTTGATCTGTAACTTGGCAGACAATTAAAATTAAGGTACTACACCTATTAAAAGCACTCCAAGTAACTTCACTTGATCACTTGATATTTCACCTGGCTGACATCAAAAGTTATGATACCCTCCTAGAAAAGGGTTACAGGTAACATTACTTAATCTGTAGTTTGGTAGACAACAAAAGTTACGATTCACTATAAAAATGGGCTGTTTTGCACACACACACACACACACACACACAGAGAGAGAGAAAAGAAATGTCCAAATTTTTCGCTGTGAATAAGTTAATTGTATTTTTTTGCAAGTATTGTAAAAAAAAAACTATAAATGCATCTTGTAATTTAGCATCAGAACAGGGTAATATTTTTACTTAAGTTAAAAACCACACTAGGGTTGAAAAATTCGGCTTTCGATTTTTGTATGTGTGTTCATTAATCACTTCATTAAAGTGATTACCGTATCCTTATCAATGCCTGTGCAGTAGACATCTATATCATGTGAGACATTTCTTCCATATATTTCATATGATTACAAGATCTTCAGTGTTTCCATGCTCAGTAGTTTCGTTGCAATTATCCTCAACTCGAATTAATGTTCCAGGCATTTAATGGAGAGTATAATGTCTCTGATAAGTATTTTTTTTTTAAATCCATGTTGATTTTTTTTTTAATTTATTTATCTAAAGTAATTTTTAAGGTATTCATCTAATTATTATTTATTTCATTAATACCACATTTAAGTGTAAACACACGCATGTTTTAACAACAGTAAAGATTAATTTAACACTGATTCAATCGAAAGTGAAGACGACCAGGTCATCTATAAAAGTTTATTCCTTAATTCTTTTTACAACATGTAACAATACCTAGAATAAAAAGTCTATTAAGCGTATTTTCCCATATAAATAGGTATTTGAATCGTGACTTGCATGAATTAACATTCAAAGAGTTCTTATGCTACTACGGACAAGAACGAGGATCTAGATTTTTTTAAATGTAAGGTGTAGGGCATGTTATTATTTCTAACATCTGTACATTGATAAAGAAGTATTTCAATCTAATAAAATGTATCCCATTTTTTAAAATCTAATTAATATATTGATATATTGACTTGCTAAAGAAAATGAGAGAATTTTATTGTAAACTCCGCATGATAAGGCACTGTGATGCACTGTATGTATACCGTGTAACAAGGAACGCAGAAACGCTATATCTTTCTATTGCAACTATACTTTTCAGATTTGTTGGAAAAAAAACTAACAAAGTCCCAGTGATCTCTGAATATTTACATTTGTTGTGCTTTTCTACTAAGCAAACTGTGAAATTGATTTGAAAGCCATTTTTATGTATACTCACGCGTAGAAATATACACGGAGAAACTCGCGCTAAAGTGACGTCACAATGAGGCTACAGAGACGTCAATAAAAATATGACGATATAGAGCAGCGATAAATTCAAACATTGATTATATTTTTGGTGCATTTAAACATGTAAAATGTAAATATCAGGAATGTTTTTAAGTTTAGTGTGAATTATTGGTGTGTAAATCACACAGACTTGCACGTAGTCATATTTTTCATGAAGCGCTAGCGCGCTTCATGAAATATGCCTACGTGACAAGCCTGTGTGATTTACACACCAATAACTCACACAAAACTTAAAAACATTCCTTAATTGGTGTTGTGATCCGAGAATTAGTTCTGTGCGCAAGTTCAGGAATAATTCAGTTTTGCAAAAGCAGACAAGGATTCCCTGTTACTTCTTTTAATTAATCGAACAATTCTTTCTATCTTTAAATCGTCAAAAGACAATTGGTATGTCTTGTGTCTCTTGGGGATTTAAGAAAAAATTAGGGAACCCGAGTTTTAGAATTTACCGTTAAGTGATGAGTACGTGATGGAATCGACATGTGTCTTACCATGCTTATATAACGCATATTTTCCCCTCTTCTTAAAAAAAGCTCATGAACACGGTTTAAAAGCTATGGCCAATTGATAAGATTTCTTTTAATTTAGAACCTAGACAAACCTGACTTGTTTTTTTAACGTCTTCAGAAAAATAACGTGTTACTAATACTTATTAAAACATAAAGTAATAAAATACTTTATTACATCAAAATGGATGTGAATTTTAAGATTGTCAATTTATTATTTTAAAACATTGAAATAAAAATCAGTATATTGATAATTTGCTTTGCACAGATTACAATAGAAGCTAGAGAGGGATTTCAGCGGATGGGCTTAGATGACATTGAAATAAAGTCAGGAGATTGTGGTAAGAAGAAAAAAACAAAAAACAGAAAACAAAAAAAAACCTGCACTTCAATCTGTATTTTTAAAATTAACAGTGGTCTAATTTTAATTTTCAACTTACATGAATGTAAAAATCGTGTGCTTTAGAAATTGATGTACATGATAATAACTTACCCTAACCATTTTTTAAAAACTGTTCCGTCAAAGTTTGTCTGTCTTCTATATGTCTGTCATCTGTCTTTTCTTTTTTTTCTTATGAATTTGAGAACATCTCCAAGGAAATACTGTGCCAATATTAAGTAATCTTTTCACAAAGCATATTTGGTGAAGGACGGGGATTTAACTTTGTTCATTTGCAAGGATGAGATTTCTAAGTGGAGATAAATAATAGAAATATTGAATATAGGTTTGGTTAAAAAATCTTCACTTGAAGAAACATTTGGATAAAGGATTCAAAACAAATTTGAAAACTTCTTCAATGAGTAAAGATTTTATTTTCCTGAATTCATGGTCCTTGAGAATACGATTGGTGCGTTTGAAGAGAGTATTTACGGGCAAATATAAAAAAAATCGTATTATTGACCACTGCGGTGCAAAAGACCAATATTTATTAAAGTTCCCCAATGTAATGTTATTCTTTTTTCTCCGGATAAGGGTGGGACCACAATAGAGTGCGATATTTCAACACTTGTCAAAAGCTTGTCAAATTACAAATTAAAATATAATCATCATGTAATGAAGTCTCAGGATCGTCAAATCCTTGCCCCTTGGTGTAGTAAGATGGGGCCATAACAGAGGGTGAGAGTCTTATATTTTAGTACATTCGGAAAAAAATCGTTCTCAAGGAAAATATTTTGGTAAAGGTCATTCATCAGAATGTACAACCATTCGCACAGAGTGTACATTAATTTTTGGTGAAGCCATTGTTTCTGGGACAAGGAACGTCTTCTGCAAGTTCGCGATGGTATAGAAAAAAAAAACTTCAGAAAAACATTAGGACTATGCGTATTCTGCCTTGTGGCATAGGCTTCTGGTTTTGTTTGTTTTTAAGTCATTGTGAAAATCATTAAAATAAAAATGAAATATATTTCTTTGCAATTGTTAAATAACCATATTGGAGGAAAACAAAGTTATTCAGACAGTTTACTAAATATTTTCACTTTCTTCTTTTGACAGCATGAAGACCAGGTGATGAAATCTATTTGAGAAATACAGTTTTCTACATGCAAGTTCATACTGAAATAATTTATATATATTTCTACTGATCTAAGAATAAAATTGTACTGCATATTGTTTTGTTTATTGTTTTTGATATATGACGTTTCCCATGAATTTTAAGATGATAAAGAACTTAAGGAATGATGCTCCTGGTTTGAAAAACAGGAGTTCTGATAAGGATAACCATTGACTCTATTTCTATTAATTACAATATCTATGTAGTTTTTGGTGACCAGGTCTTCCAACAATTTGTTGGAATTTCCATGGGCACCAATTGTGCCCCGTTATTAGCAGAGCTATTTTTGTATTCATATGAAGCAGAATTTATTTAAAAAAAAACGTCAACATGAAAAGAAGTCTCTTGATGTGGCCTTCAAATCAACATTCAGATATATCGAAGACCTGTTATCAATTAACAATATTCATTTTCATTAATATTCATTTTTCATTTGATTCGATATATCCCTCTGAACTCAAAATAAAAGATACAATAGAGTCTGGCACATCTGTATCATTTTTGGATATGACTCCATATGCAGTTGATAAAGATATATTGCTACATAAGTAAGGAGAGCTGACGAAAGAAAGTTTGAAGTCATCAAGTTTATCATAAAGTTTTATTGTTAGGTTACCATTAAAATACCTTCTAAATAAAATGCATTGTTAATGCAGGAATTTAATAATGTCAACTTTTAAAGAAAAATAAGTAATTCGCGGTAGCGGGTGATTTGATCTTTTTCTGCGGTAGTTGCAACCGTAAATCTCTCATTAAGAAACAAAGAAGGGCATTATATTATAAATGTTCGTTATCTGTATATATAATCATAATCATATAAGGTAGGTTTTAGTGCATAAGATATGAACGTAAAGACTTCTTATATACTGGTAGCATTCAATCTCCTGTATTAGCTAGTTAAGTGTTTATGGATTAATAAAAGGAAGTGCTTTTCATACGAAATATAGGAGAAAATAATCAGTGAATGAAAATATAGAATAGAGGCTATTTCTTTCAGAAGATTTGCTGAATATACGAAAACAAATATTAACATGCACCACCAACTTTCTCGTAAATTTACGTCCTTTATAGATCCTTGTATTTCTTTGGATAAGGAATTGCAACCACGTGATTAATGGTTTTCGATACAATTGCTGTCTGCAGATCTTCATGGGAATTATGCAAGATCTATAGAAAGACAAATGGGAAACTGCTCGATGGAAAGCTTTATACGTTCTTCTTTACAAACGATCATCTCAAACTCCAGAAAAAAGAGGAATGACTTTTTACTGTACGGACGAATAAATCTTGATGGAGAAAATATCGAAGATGATAAGGAAAAAAGTTATTTATGTAATGTTTATATTATATTTTGTTATCTATGATTTGATACTGGATTGGTGAAATCGTACATTAAATTTGAAGTTGCCACTCCATTAAGTATTGATTTTTAAGCAAAGCTCCGTTTACAATATTGCCCTTTAAATACGTTTTAACAGGTCGCCCGCAAGGTGCAGTGGTTAGAGCGCTTGATCCTAACGTCGCATGTTCGAATCCACGGTGCGATATGGAGACCAGTCCTTCGGATGAGATCGTATAAATCAAGGTCCCGTGTCGCAGTAGGATCTGGCACGAAAAAGATCCCTCGCTGCTCAAAAGCCGTAAGTGCCGAGTACAGGTCTAAATGTGCAGCCTTCCTCTGGCAAGTTTTGTTTGTTTGTATGTTGTTTAACGTCCCTCTCGAGAATTTTTCACTCATATGGAGACGCCACCACTTGCCGGTGGAGAGCTGCAAGATAAGTTGCACATCCATTTATCTTTACAATATTTATGAGAAACGGAAGAATTTGAGTGTGGTTTAAGGTCAAGATCTAGTAAATGACTTTAGACCGTCTTTTCGGTGCTAGATCCATTATGACGTCATAATCAATTTAAACTTTCCTTTTCCCGTACTTTACAGCTCCAATAGAATTATGTATAAAATAAAGTATTTTCATGGCATTCAATTTGAAATCAGGTGAAAAGTAATCCCGATACCTATATTCAATTTTACATTATTTTAAAGAAGAGGTTATAAGAACATACAAATTACCGTTTTCTGAGAGACTGTAGGCAATCTGAATACATTTCCTTCGTCTGATATGGAAAAAACTCCCATATTCTTGACTGGTTTTCATAATTTTTCATTGAAAATGACAGTTTACAAGATGGTTTTTCGTCTTGTTTTCTTGCAAATTATGCCCCGATACACCTTATTTGACCGCGCTATAGTTATAAAGCATCATAAAAGGAATTTATTTCTCAAGTTTGAGAAATCTGTAGGCTCTTTTCATTTACTAGATCTTGACCTTAAAAAGAACATATGGTATTTATTCATCGAGATTCATTTGTATTGTTTTAACGTGAGGCCATAATAGCTTTTCCGAATCTCTACATAGGCTGACGTACATATGGGAGTCCTTAACCTACGCATGTGAGTTAAGGCTAGGTTTAGGCGTTTCTATGCAAATGAGCTAATAAAACGCATAAGAGGTATATTTATTATTCAGAGAAAGTTTTGATTTATTTTCTTATGCATACTAAGTACTCACGATATGTTATAGCCAGTACATATTATGACGTCATATTATAACGTCATTGTTCTTACCTACTAGAGGTAATAAAACACATCAATAAAACAGCTTCGGCGCAAGGGATTACCCTATTTATTTTTTTCATAAAAATTGTATAATGCTAAGAAGAATATTCTGTAGATTAATAAAACTGCTGCACAAATCCTAGGCATGTTATCATTTTGTCGGAATCTGAGGAAACTTATACCGGACTGTACATTTTTACCCGGATTCAACTTAAAACTTTAAAAATAAAAAAATTTACACATGAACTGTTGATATTTGTGCAGCAATATCAGCAGTCTTTGGAATAATTTGCTCCAGAATACAACTTGTTGCAGTTAAATAAAATAGAGCATGCCCTTGCGCCGAAGCATTTTTATTCATTATAATCTTGTGTATTAAGGAGGTTGGATCCTGCCATCAAAAGTAATGTGAATTTTTAATCACGTATATTTTTTAGAATTTATACACATAGCTTAATTAAAAATCAAAACAAAAAATGGGGGTCAATGCGCTTCTTTTGGCACTACAGAGCATTTAGTTTGACCTTTTTGCACTGTAAATACGTTTTTCAAATAAATCAATTTTTAAAGTTTTTCCTCCAATATTTTTTATTCAAATAAATTATGGGAACAAACACAGTCTTATTTCATCTTGAATAGACACATTAAAATTTGTGACAAGTATAAAATTTTCAAATTACTCCGCATATCCAGTTATTTAACCTTTTTGCACTCAAAAAAATTCATTTTTCTGGCATTAAAAATTTAACAAGCAAAAATATCATTTGAGAGTAATGACATTTTACTGACTTTAAGAGGAATGGTTAAAAGTATCTTATATATTTAGAAAAGAAAATAAAAAGTGGGGGTCTGTGATGTTAATTTTTAGATATTACTAAAATAGTGCTAATTTTAAGCTTAAAATAGGGATATTTTTTTTCTTGATTTTCACAATATATTTGCTATATTTATCAAATATGATGATAGAATTCATGAAAGTTTATTTAACATATAATTTAGGACCGGTATAAAACAGTTCACTGCACAAAATAACTCTGTGTGCAGACTGCATGTAAAAATAGGAATCCAAACTTAGCATACTTTAAATACTTCGAATGAGAAAAATTGATTATTTTCTTCTAAAAAACCTTCCGCCACAGAATATAGTTCCTCACTTAATGCTTTTGGTATGGAATTAAATCATGGAGTTTTAACTGAATATAGTTTAATTGGCATTATAGAATTCAAAATTATTGTAAGAATTATAACTTTATGCAGAATTTTTGAAATATAGGTTAAGATATAAATCTGCTCAAAAGCTCAGGAGCGAACCTCGTTAAAGAATATTATATAATATATAAATTATAATATGACGTCATAATGTGTACTGGCTAACTCATGTCTTGGGTACTAAGTATGTATTAAACAATAAGTTTTAACTTTCTCTGTGTAATAAATATGGTCCTTAGGCATTTTGATTAGTTGATTTGCATAGAAATGTATATACCTAGCCTTTACTCTTCTGCGTAGCTGCGTAAACGTAGTAAAAAAAAGCAGTGTGATGATTTACCTACTTTAGAATTGCTATAACTATTTGTGTTTTCTTATTAAGCTTGACAATATCATTTTATAACGGGAAAATATTTAAAGTGAAGTTGGGTTATTTTGAATATTCCTTGGAGCACTTCCGTAATATATGCAATGTTTTAGATAGAGAGAAATCAGTTTTCTTCAATGAAAGCAGAATCACAATTTCAATATACGAGAAATTAGTAAGGCTTTAAATGATGTGACACCAGGCCCCAGGATCATGAACAAACTTAGACTTAAGTCAAAAGGATGAATCGTTTAAACGTCCAAATCTGTCCCCCCGATAATTTACAAAAAATTAAATTAAAGATTTTATACATACTTTTGCCTCAATCTTTCCATCAAACATTGTGGTTTATTAATTTCAATTTCAATTTTTACTTCCTTGCACTGTAATTAGGTATTTATGTGATTAATATAGCAGGGGTATGTTGTTTACATCGATTTCTCAAAGACTTTAGGCCACACCCCCATTTTGCAAGCCCAGTTTATATATGAGCGCACGGATGTTTCAAGTTGTCGTGAATATGGTCAATGTAAAGAGTTATACTAGTCATTTACATTCATGAAAGAAATTGAAACAGTCTTGCGCTCATTTGCTATTTTTGCAAAATCACGGGTGCTTGTCTCCATAGTAAAGGCACCTTGTTTACAAATTTCAACCCGTCTTTGACCTCATGAATAACAAAGCACTCAACACGTGACTCAAATCTATTCACTTCCACGCTTTGAGCACACCTATGCGACATTGTGTCTGCGAG